TTCTAGGGGTAGAGTCATGCTCAGGGAATAAGAGTCAAGTAAAAAAAAAAAAAAAAGAGTCAAAAACGAATGAGTATGTCTTCAAAATGTCATTGATACCATGTCTGATGTTATTCTTTAACCAAGTGATAACCAATAAGTAGCACAGCTACAATACTACATTTTCTCTTTATTCATCTTTGGAGTGAGGGGTATGTTGTGACATCCTCATTTGCTAGCGTATCAACCACTTGGGACATGTGGTTATGAAAACAGTCCAATCCCCTGGCCTAGCATTAATACCTACCCCAGTGTGAGGATGTCTAATTGTCTTTGGAAGCTATTTTAAAACTATATTCTTGCTTTAGACCTATTCAGAGAACAGGGTAGGCCCTCTAGTCTATTGTTAAACCCAAGCCATTTTCCTGTAAGTTCCTCTACTGTGTTTGATTTAAAAGATAAAATTTGTTGGACCATTTGCCTTAGTAAGACCATTTTCAGAAGGATAAGGAATAGCTACTGCCTGAATGTTCTTCTAGAAATGTTGTACCATGCCATTTTGTATCTACAGGGAAGGAAGTTTGTTGTAAAGTGGCATAAGTATCAATTCTCTGAGTCCCAAGTTACATAGAAGGTCTACCTATGAGACTGAATTTCTTTGCAGGCTTTAGTATTATAGTCTCCCTCACAGAACCCAGGTAAGGCAAATCCCTTCACCAGGAATTTAAAGCTACCATCGACTGCATGCATTTAGGAGCATTATTTAGACAGATGGAAGGTCTTCATTTGTAGCTATAAGGAACTATACTTGATAAAATGAAGGTAGGCAAAAAAATTCTCAGCTGAATGAGCAAGTGCACCTGAAGCAACATAAGCATTTGGAAATACTACTAAATCGCTCTGGTTAGGAAGACTAATAGATAAATCTTCTTAGTTTGTGAAGGTGAGGGGTCATGAGAGTAACAGTGAGGTAGAGAACATGAAACCACAAGACAATGGAAGGCAAGTATCTGGAGTACGCTAAGGTCTGCATTCATGTTATTCTTTACAGAGGTCAATGGTCCTTTGGGAGCTAGAAATGAAGCCTAGTGCTTGCCTAACATATGTAAGAATTTCTAGTATCAAACTAAAATAGCAATTTTAAAATAATTTTCTCCTCTTACAGTTGAAAAACTTCCAAGGATTTCTCTTCATGCACAGGAATACAATCAACCTTTAGACTGGCTTTCACCTTCCAATATTGTGTCATCTCCTCTGGATTAATTCACAAATGTTCATGAAGTACCTGCCATCACATGCTAAGTACTATACAAAAAATATAGACTACATAGTGAAGAAAAAAAAACTTCCTCCCCCTTATAGCTCCTATGGCAGGAGAGAAAAAAGTAGAAAAATTGACAATCTGTGGTGAAAGTTGGGAAAGAGGATACCCTAGACGTCTTTCATGAGTGCAGAGACTTGTAACCTGAATGAAGAGAAAGGAACAGAACGAGAAACATCCAAAGAAATGAAGATGTTAGGAGTGAGACAGTTTTTGTTTGTTTGTTGACATGGTTTATTTAAACAGAGCTGGCTGCCCTGGAATTCACTATGTAAACCAGGCTGGCCTCAAATTCTCAGAGATCCATCTACCTCTGCCTCTGTCTCTGCCTCCAGAAACAAGCAGGAGTAGACAGTTTTAAAAGGGAGAGAACAGATAATTGAGTTTTTCAAAAAGGAGAAAGAGGAAGAGGAGGAAGAAGAGGGAGAGGAGGAGGAGAAGCAGGAGAACATACAATCAAAAAACCCTTCCTGGCTTATAATGTAGAGAACGAACACACTGAAAAAAGGCTTAGTTCATCAAGAGAAAATGGTGTCATTCTGGAAGGGCAAAAGCAGTGAGTGCTATAGGAACATAAAGCAAGATACCTAACTTGGTCCTAGAGATAAGGTAGGACCCATTGGGAGGAAGTGACACTTAAAGGGAGACTTGTGGCATACTAATTCACTGCTTCGGCCAAAGGAGGTCTCAGTTTTACTAATCATTTTGTTCTATCTGCAATTCCAGATGCCTTTTCTTCATGGCCAAATCATGTCTAACTTACTATAGTTCTTTCAAATCCCACCTTCTGGGATCATAGGCAGAAACACTGCTTCAATATTTCTATTCCAAATTTGTCACTTAGTATTTTAGAAGCTCTACTATTTGCTGAGCAAAGTGTTACATGCCTGTAATCCTAGCACTGTGGAGGTAGATGCAGGAGGGTCAAGAATTCAAGGCTATCCTTGGTTGCATAACAAGTTGAAAGCTAACCCGGGCTACATGAGACCCTGTCTCAAAAACAAATAAACAAAAATTCTATTTGGTATTGTTAAGACTCAACCTCACATTTATCTCTAAACTCCTTATAAAAACTCCAAATATGTGAGTTATCTTTTATTACTTTAGCATCACCCAGGATACATAGCATGGTGATGAGCACATATGTTTGTAAATCAAAGGGTGGACGATACACTGGAGTCTCTGAAACCTCCTTCATAATTCGCTATGACTAGAGACATGTACACACAAAAAAGGGTCTGCTTTCCCCAAAAGAATTCTACTAATTTCATCCAAAGACCTAAGATCTGAAATAGACAACTCCTTCCCAATAGGCTCTGCTCCTCACCCCCCTTGCAATTCTGCCCCTTCCCCCACTCTACCTTCTATTGTTTCTTCTGTCTCCTGGTTGTTAGCCAGGATGAGAAAATGGTCTAGCTGTCCTCAGAGACTTACACCAGCCTGGACTGCTCTGCAGTGCCATGAAGGGCCAGGACTTTTGTTTACAGCTGGAAGCCTGATGAGGCAGTAAGCACAGCTGACAGCCCCACTCTGGAGCAAACATCAATTTTCCTCTGTCCTCTTAGCCAAGTTTCACAGACCAGCTCTATTGAAAGCTGGCTGTACCCTCCTGGATCTTCCTGATGTCCCAGCCACAACTCTAGGCTGGGAGCAGCTGGGTGGATCTCAGCTTTGTACCTTTTAGGAGCTGTTCTTACTCTCTTCTCTGTCCTTAATTACTAACCATATTATCTCAGCCTCAGGGCCAGGAAGGAACATGTCCTTCAAGGTCTCCATACTCTAAGACCTATGTGCTCTCTCACCTTAGTGTACAAATACCCTCATTCACCTATCCATATGGTAACACACTGCTGCAAGTAGATCGGAACCACTGTTTCAATGTGTAGTTTGTAGAATCTACCTTTCCAAGCAGAACGGTCTTTATATGTTTACACTTTCACATACATGTGCACACACACAGCTTATGCTTTCTGATGGTGGTCCTACTCTTAAAAACTATAAATAAGGTAGGAAAAACATCTTCTAAAAATAGATGACACCCTCCGTCACATATTCCACAATCTGACCTGTTTCTGTACCAGCACTGCCTTCTAGATCAAGGGTAAGCTGAAAGCTCCAATACATTCTTAGCTCCTTCTTGCCCCTTGCTTCCATTTGCCTGTGTCTTTTTCTGCCTTCTAGCTAGTAATTTGGACAATTAGCTGAAGTTTCTTTCTGTGGTTTTCCACCTCTCTCTGGTCCTAATTTCCTGATAATTATGAGCTGCTGCTTACAGTAGCTCATTACAGCAAGGCTCCCCATGGTGTCTCCCCATGGAGAAGAGACTATTCTTTGAGGAGACCTTATCAATTTCCAGTAAAAAGGATTTGGTTTGGTTTTTTTCAATTTGACTCACTCCCTAAATCTGACATGGTCCATTCCTACTAAAGAATACACAGTTCACTCAATGTCTTGGTTAGTAAGTATTCTTCTAAACCCATATTTGTCGTCTAAACCATAACTGATCATTTCTTCTTCTTTAAAGAATTATTTTATTATAGGATCATTCAGAACTAAAGCAAGGAAATAGTACAAGCACCCTATATCTACCATTAAACAACTTAGATATGTACTTTCAAGTACTACTGGCTTATCCTTTTAAACATAAAAGCTATTATAGTTTCAAAAGCTATAACTTTATCACTTCTAGGAAATTGTAGACTATAGGTAGAAATTACAAACAAGAAATAAGAACATAAATAACAAATAAGAAATTTAGCTGGGGAAAAAACGATTCAAAGCAACCACTTGAGGCAAAGTTCGAACTACAAGCATCAACAATGACTGGCAAAAATCGTCTTTATCTTTCTGAGTTAATGTATACCATGGGTGGCTTTACATTCTCCCTCTAAGTAAAGTGTGTTGCTGACAAAACCAGAATTTTGGCACGACTCAAGCTAAACTATTAACTCAGGAGGAAAAAAAAAACAAGGGATCATGTGAAAGTCTGGCATCTCAAGGTCATCTAAGGTCATCGACGACTAGGTTCAATTCTCAGCTGTTTGGTCAATTGAAATAAGTTTTACAAAGTCAAAAGAAACCATGAAGTAGTAGTTTAATTACAGAAGAGAAAAGAGATACCTTAAAAGGACAAACCTTCTCCCTTGACTATTCCCATTTTTTTGCTTTGCCATGGACTAACAAGCTAGACAGATCCAGAAAAATTTGCAGGAATCACTTTATGAAATTCCTATGGACTAAGGCAGTGTAAATAGATAAAAGAAAGACATCCTTATTATAGAAATGCCATTTTGTTTGGCCTTGAAATATTAGGATTAGTTTTTAACTTGTACATTAAATAATCATTTTAAGAAGTTAGGTAAGATAATCAGAATCAGTTTTTAAAAACTTTTTAAAGATTTATGTATTTTAAAGATTTATGTATAAGATTTATATATGTGCATGAATGTTTTGCTTGCCTATATGTAGGTACAGCACATGTGTGCCTGGTGCCCACAGGGGTTCACAGAAAAGGTGTCAAGTCCTCTGGAACTGGAGTTACAGATGCTTGTGAGCCACCATATGGGGGCTAGGAACTGAACCCCAGTCTTCTGCAAGAGCAACAAGTTTTCTTAACTGCTGAGCTATCTGTCCAGCTTCCACTTGCTATTTTTAAAGTTTGGTTCTGATCTGAGACTGGAACACCTATACGTTGACTCACATCTGTCTACATTACCACTCTCAGGGAATCCAATGTCCTCTTCTGGCCTCAGGGGGCACAAGGCACATACAAGACGCATAGACATACATGTAGAGGAAGCACCTGTACAAATAAAATAAATAAAATTATAATACATACACACATATGATAGAATAACAAATAAAGCTTAGGATAAAGCACTTTTGTTTAGTACCCATAAGACTTGGGAGGATACTGTGGAGAGACAATAAAACACTGATCAACACTGACCACTACCTTTCAGACCAAGGAAGGTTTTGTTATTCCCAAGGTAATACAAGTAAGGATCCTATAATACTAATAGGCAAGTTACATGCTGCATAATAGTACTCAACTAAGATAGCAAAATTCCTGGCCGAAATGTCTTTTTCAACTAACTGCCTTGGTGAGGTTGTCAGCAGGGGTAAGAAAAAGAGTTTTTCTCACTGGAGTGCACATATCTCTGCAATTTTTCTGCCCTTAGGTGGCCTATGATTCTGATTACCACAAAGGCATTGTATGAGCTAATGGTAGCCTTGCAAATTAACAGAGTTCATGGAGCCACTGAATTTTCTGTGAAGGCTGAGACCATAAATAGTTTCTGTCTGGCCTTGGGCCTTGGAACCAAACAAAATTAAGCTGTCTTTCTTTTCCAGTTGAAATCACATAAAGACAACAGTGCAGCTGTAAATTCCAAAGAATATTTCTTATTTTCTGAGAACTGACTATAAGTCAGGAATCTACTTGAGGCTTTATCCCACTAATAAGTTAAGGTTGCAGGGGGCCATTCACATTGATGGGGCAACGTAGCATAACAGGAAAAAGCCTGGGCTTTAAAGTCAGGAACAAGTCTGGCCTTGCTTTGCAATTTACTGATTGAGCAACTTCAGGTGACTATTTAACTTCTCCGGGCTTCTGTGAGAATTTGCTAAGATAACGGATGGAAAAAGCTGAGTCCTGTGCTACCTTGAAAACAGGAAACATTGTTTCTAGGCCATTTTTCCTTACCACTCTGATTCTAAGACTAATTCCCATTATTCACCCTCTTGCTCTTGCAATCCTACTCAGTAAAGCACAAGGATAAACCTATTAGAATACAGCAGCAGAGGAAAAAAAATCACCTTTTGGGAGCATCTGTCAAGAGACACACACTATGCTAGGCCCTTTTACATACCTCCTCTCATCTAAATCAGTGCGGCCCAGCAGAGCATTCTGTGATGGTGAAAATGATCTATATCTAAATTCAGACAACAGCTAGTAACATTATGTAGCCAGAACAGCCAACTGAACCAATTTTTTTTATCCTAGTAAATTTTGACTTAAATAGCCACATGTGCTAGCTGAATACTGAATTATACAGGGTGGGTGTTAAGATCATGAAATGTGTGTTTCCATCTCATAGGTGGTGACACTAAAGTTTAGAATATTTAAGAGACTTGTTTTAAGAAATAACTTAAACTTGAATAACTTTGAAATCTGAAACACTTCTGTTTTCAAACACATAGTTATTCTACAAAGCACAGCAATGTGGTGTGTCATAGTACTTGGTCAGCTTCACTCAATGTTGAATTCCTTGAATTGGTTCTAACAGTGCTCAAATGAACCAAGATCCTGCCACTGGAATGGCTTAGAGGAGGGGGGACTGAAGAGTGCATGTCTGGTGTCAGATTAAAAACTGGTCAAAATACAACAGAGAAACTTCTCCACATTTTCTCTTGGGTAAAACAGCATCAATATCTCACAAATACAAAATAAGAAGAAAGATCACTTAAACAGGATTTAAATCAGAGAACTAGAAAGCTCAATAGTAGAATCCCAAATGCCAAGAATTATCTAGTAATTTACTAAAAGTGTTCATTACTTGTAAATTACACATGAATGAAAATAACTAGATACCAGAACTCACTTTCATCACTATAAAATGATACTAGGTATCATCTAAGTTATAAGCTTATTAGTGACACTAGAGTGTATAGAGCAATAGAGTAAGTGACCCATAAATGGGTTTTCAAAACTGTGTTTATCATACATGAACCATTATGATATGCACCAAAAAGGATAACTACAGAATAGAAAGAACATTGAGAGATAAAAAATAAGGAGACCACTCCTGAACTTTTGTGTGATACCCTATTACAGAATGGAGAGGGGGAAACATATACAAAGCATCAAGTTATTTCTCTATACATGGTTTGCTTTCCTACCATCTTCTTAATGGTTCTGTCAACATTAGTCAAAGCAGGGAACAATATATAATGTACAGTTTGTTTCAGACTCTGAAAAGGGAACACTTATGGTGACACCTACACATTTCTTAATCTGCAAAACAAGACTGATACTACACAGAACACATTTTGCTTTACATTCTACAGCACCCTCTAGTGGTGTATTGCATTTTAGCCTCCCAAAGCAGTGATTCTCAAATTTTAGAGTACATTGGATTCACTAGAACAATTTGTAATGGTGTGGATTACCAAGCTCCATCCAGAAAACCTTTGATTTATAAGACATAAAGTAGGGCCTACAAATCTAATATTCTGATAACTTACCTGGTTTTACTGATTCTTTTGATTTGTCTGGGAAATACAGTTGGAGAACTGATCTCAAAAAACTTTCACCTTTGTGGCTGGAGAGATGGCTCAGCAATTAAGACCACTTGCTGCTCTACCGGAGGACTCAAGATAGGTTCCCAGCATTCATGTCAAGTGCCTCAGAACAGCCAGTAATTCCAGTGCCAGGGGGTCCAGTGCTTCTGACTTCTGAACACATGTCACATACATACATGTAGATATATACCTAATTAAAAGCAGTAAAATTAAAATCTTTTTTAAAAACAGAAATCTTTTACTCATTTTATTTATAAAGAAATATTTATTTTATGAGTACACCATTGCTCTCTTCAGACATACCAGAAGAGGGCATCAGATCCCATTACAGATGGCTGTGAGCCACCATGTAGTTGCTGAGAATTGAACTCAGGTCAGTGCTCTTAACCGCTGAGCCTCAGAACCTCTGGAAGAGTAGTCAGTGCTCTTAACCGCTGAGCCATCTCTCCAGCCATAAACTCTTTTTTAAAACCTTCACCTACGTGTGTACAAGTGCATATAATTAGTAACCAAAACCTATTTTTGGCTGATTATAGTGTAGTACAATTTTGTTAAAAAAAAAAAGAAATATCTATGGGAAGGATTTAGTACACCATCTGAAATGTAGAAAACATTTAAAAATTGATGCTCTGACTGAGGTGATGTCAGGGGAGGGGGTGGTAAAATGTCTGCTGTTCAAGCATGAGGGCCTAAGCTCAGTTCCCCAGCATGTATATAAAAGCTGAACATGGGGTACATATCTATAACCCCAGAGTTTTAAGGCGGACTGTTGGTAGAGACGGGCAGATCCTGAGAGCTCAGTGACAAGCCAGTATAGCCCGTATAGCAAACTCCGAGTTCACTGAGACCCTTCCATAAAAAATAAAGTCGACAGCAATAGAGGAAAAGACCTAAATGACAGTGAACTTCAGCCCCAAAATGCACAGGCCACACACATACATATATAAGAATTTTTTTTTAAAAAATACACCTCAGGGTTACAACAGCATTATGCGCTCTGAAACCTAAGTTTTCCTATTTAGTATCTGACTCTAAAAGCATGACCAAGTTTTTCGGAATGTAACGAGAAAAGTAAAAATAGAAAAAGAATGCCCTTTGTCTTACAAAAACAGCTTAGTCAGGAACTCCTCTACACCCAAGGCTGTACCTGATAACCAGCCCCCAGTGACATCAGTCACTAAGATAACCAGACATAGGACAAGAATCCCATGACGCCCGCTGGACAGTGAGTATTTAAGCAGGAAGATCGAGAGCATCGGTCTTTCGCTGCACACCTGGAGAGACACCTCGAGCCGCCCTGCGGCTAGAGAGTCTTCCCAGGCTCCTGCATCGGAGACTGGGCCTGATTTTCAGGTAAGGTCCGCCGCACATGAGCTCCCTTGGGGAAGAGGCCTAAAACTGTAGTTAGGAACTAAGTAAGAGTGCTAACTTTGTGTGATGACTCTCACCATGATAAAATACAATTTTTGGTATACTAAGTACCTACGTTCTCGCTCAGTACAGGATAGAACCATTATATAAAATTGGGATACAAACACAAATGGCTGATAAGAATTTCAAGAGGAAGATAATTCCCAATGCTGAGGCCTAACTTTACCTCCGAGTTACCTTTACAGACTGACTAGAGTCTTCTGCAGTTGCCACTTGGAGGAATTGTAAGTACAGAAAAGTAAAGTGGGCAAAAAGAATATTCTTTCAATTGTTTATGTAGTGACAGGGTCTCAATGCATCATCTAAGCTGGCCTTTAATTTTCGGCCCTTCTTCCTCCCAAATGCTGATACTGCGGACGTACCACAGCTCACAAAGGGTTTTAGCATCAGAGTTTAGGCCCATTTATCAATCCTGAATAAAAACAAAAGGCAAGGGAGAAAGAAATGCTGGAAGAATAGATGACTTTTTTCTTTGTACAGAAATTAATCAAAGTATTAGGATATATAATTCCTTGCCTAGTATTGTTACTTCACAGAACTTGATTGTATTTATCCTTAGGAATTTAAGATATATGAGTCAGCCAGAGATTAGGGAGCCCATAAAATAAGAAGTGGGTGGGGCAAATATTAAATCTCACAATCCCTGGGCCCAGCAGTAAATCCTTTGCTGGGATTTGGTGACATCTAGTGGCAGATTCAAGAGGTATAATCCCCATCCAGTGAACTTTCTGGAAAATTGATCGAATGTATTGGAGATTAGGAAAAAAGGTAGGTGAGGCTTAGCAGCCACAAAAAATTGGAGTAGTCTCTATCACTGGGGAATTTAATTGCTTAAGTTTTCATAAGAATTTTTTATGTCAATTTAGCAATAAACTTGGTGGAGGGGTAAAGGGAGGTTCACAGTAAATTTGGTGATGGGCAAAGGGGAGGCCTCAGAGACAGAGAGGAGGGGATGTACGCTTGGAAACTTGAAAAAAAAACGCCCTTTTATGTTACTAATATGATTTTGAATCTAAACCATGGAACAAGTTTCTTTTGGTGGACTACATTGTGGGAATAATGAGCATCTCTAGGGTCTAAAATTAAATCAGACTGGGTGGAGTGGCGCATGCGTTTAATCCCAGCACTCAGGAGGCCGTGAAGGGACAGGTGGGGTCTCTTGAGTTTCGAGCTAGCCAAGGCTACGTAGCTAGAACAAGCCTCAAAAAAAAAAAGCAAAGAAAAGAAAGGTATTAAATCAGCCGGCCTTTTCTAACAAAAGCCCTTTACTTCTGTTACTAGCACTTATTTATTCTCACCTTTATTAACGCAGTTTGCAAACAAAAAAGGCAGAAATCTACGAAAATGAGGTACCTCACCTACACCCACACGTTCAGGGCCCCTCCCGCCACCGCGAGGGCTTGCACGCCTGCGCACACCCATCATCCCCGGCGCCACGAGGGCGGCGGTACGCCCACACCCACACTCCACAGCCACGCGCGCGCGCGCGGATACGCCTCGTTTTTCAAGACATCCGGGCATTTGCCCGGCGACACTCACCACCCTCACACGCATACACCTCAAAACCTTCATCCTTCCTTTTTCTTTTGTTTTTTGGATTTTCTTTTTTTTTCTCTCTCTCTCCGGTTTCGAGAGTTGCGCAACAGGCTCGGGGGCGTGGCGCTGGGTTTGACCTCGCTCTTCCCACTCGCGGGAACCTTAGCTCATTTCCGCCTAGCCTATTTCCGCAAGCCACGTCGGCACTTCCTTTCCCAGTGGTGCGGGGGCGGGGGAGGGGAACGGACCCACAAACCCATAATGCCTCCCTGCAGGAGAGAAGGAGAGCGCGAGGGAAAGGAGGTGGGGGTGAAAAAAAAAACCAACCCACGATCAGGGGAACTCTGGGTCGTGAAAATGGGCCACGTGAACACGCTGCCCTATAGACTTCTGACCCAACGGCTGTAGCGCACTTGGAGGGCGGGCTAAGAACCTAAAAGGGCGATCGTTATTGGCTGAAGCTCGTACAGAAGAAGGACGCTAATTGGTTTGATTTCGGCCCTAACCATGAAGAAGCAGGTTGCTAGCACCCGCCTTTACTGCGGCGGAGTGTCACTGCTGACGTGGGGGCGGTGGTCCAATCATTTGGGTATGGAACATTCTAAAACTTAGACAAGACGACTGGGATTGGCTGACGGGCTAAGCCCGCCTCCAGGGTGACGTGTCTGCCTATGGATATCAGTTGCCAGAGAAACCTGGCTTTACTATGGCGGTTGGAGGAGCAGCAGTGATCACACGTCGGCTGCTGGAAAGAACTGGATTCTCGTTTCAGGTTTCGGGGTGGGGGTGGGGAGGAAGGGTCGATGATTTCCTCTTTCCTTCCTGACTTATAGACAGGATTAACTAGTGCCTTCACATTCAGGCAAAGCTGGATTCGTATTCCTGCTCGCCAACGCCCAACTTGGGCATGGCTCCTTTCTGTGTCTCGGTTTCCATGTTTGTAAAATGGTGATAATAGTAGCTGTCTCAGACGCGGATTCAGATGTGCCTAGTAAAATAGTGCGTGTAAGGCATTCGATGTGTGAATCCTGTCTCCGAAAGGTGGTAGCAATTGTTACTAAAGATAGAAATTTCTATAGAAGAAAAATTTTAAATTACGCAAATTTGCTCGATATCGTATTTTTTTCTGTACATCATCCGCTTTCTTAAAAGAAATTATGACGATAGGCATTTATTAAGCCCTACCGATAAAATAATTGCTAGTCCATAATTGCTTCAGAATGTCTGGGGATTGGAATTTTCTTGCATTAAATCAAAAAGAGAAAGGAGGTAGGGGAACGCGAATGAGAACGAGCTACTTAGGAAGCACATGCGAGGAGTAGGCCTTGTTTGAATCCTGATTCGAGCACACCAATTGTAAAATTTAAGATGCATCGAGGATGTTTAAATGCAGGATTAATATTCTTAAATGAAATCGGTGTCAGATTATTTTTTAGACGCTTATGGTGGCGATGTGGTTGTGTTTTCAGATTGCTCTATTTTGTAGAAATAAATATAAATGCTTAGGGATTAAATAATGTCAGAAAATGGCTTCAGAATAACGTGGATGGCTAGGATTTGCTTCAGAGTAAATTCAGCGATAGAGATGGGAGGGGTATAATTGAGACCCTAGATTAATAATCATTTAGACTGGGGGTGGGGTGGGCAGATGGGGTTTCCTGTATTTGTGTTTTTCCCATGGTATATATTTGAAAATTTCTAGAATTCTGAAGTCATTTTTTTGATAGCTTAAAAAAAAAGTGGGGGGGGAGCAGTGGGTGGGGTTACAGATGAAACAAGATGGCCTTCAGTTGGTAATTGTTGGAGCTGGATGATGGATTCGCATCCGTTTGTACTGCTGTTCTTTCACAATTTTATTTATTTCACGTTATCCTTAATAGAAATTAATTATTTTTTTCCAAAATGGACAAACATACAATAAAGTACATTTATCTGAAAATAAAACCACAAGAAAATAAAATTCGTACATTATCAGCTTTGATGTCCTTTGTGTGAGATAAAATTGTATTTACTGATGGAAAAGAAATTCACCATCTCATATCTCTTTATGTCCTTTTCCATCTCTTTGTTTGACCTTCTAGGTCATCATCAGAAAAGCTAAGTTTGCTATACAGTAAGGATCAGGAGCTCTGACCCTGGTTGCAGAACCATTCCTGGTTGCAGAACACAGGGTAAGTGCCTTCCCTCTGGCCTCAGTTCACAGACCAACTATATCACATGACCTTAGATGTGTAGGAATATTTTGAGGATGAATAAGCTGCCATCTGAGAAAATACTCTAAATTCTGAAAAGGGAAGGAAAAACAATATAGTCATGTGTAATTTTATTCTCTTAATTAAAAATTAGTGCTTTGTGGAGGCTTAATAGATTCAAATATTGCATTATTTTTCTCTAGAGCAAGTACAAATTTAATGGATTTGATTGCTGACTCTTCGACTTTGTGTAATCCTGAGCAAGAAACTTCCTTTGTTCCAAAATGTCCTCATAAAAGTATTTGCTATAATATTTCTGTGGCTTTAATTGTCATGAAACATTTTATGTACAGATATGTAAGCACGTTTTTGTAAAGTAGTGAATATAATTTTCTTGGAATTATTTTTTAATTAATATTGTTGGTTTCTCTCATTTTCCAGAAGCAGCCATTAACTACTAGAACTGAATTCTGAAATTAAGACTTCTGGCTTTTCCAGTCTAAAAAAAATGTTTTAAGGATATTTACTTACAAGGAAATTTCCAAGAACTATAATTTTAGCTTCCATATCCAGCATGCTAAGCATTTTTTATGTAATTTTCCTCTTTTGTTCAGACTGAAAATAATCTATTGGATTGGAAATGTAGCTTATGTAGCTTAGTTAGTATAGTCCTTCCCTGGCATACATGAAGCTCCAGGTTTGATCCCCAGCACTACCTAAACCAGGCATAGTGGCACATGGTTGCAATCTAAAGATTTGGGGGATAGAGGAAGGGGTTTCAGAAGCTCAAGGTCATCCTCAGCTATATAGGAAGTTTGAGTCTAGCCTGGGACATGAGATCTTTTCTCAAAAAAAGATGTTTATTTTTTAGACATGTAGAATGTTCCAATATCCAATTGAGAAAGTTGATATATACTTGATTTTAGCCAGAGACCAAGAGATGAAAGCATGATGTAATTAATGTGGCCCCATCACGGTTAACGAAAAGGTTTATGCCAACACATTGTTGGAGTCTATAAATACACAACAAAAGTACATTTGGAGTCTGGTTTCATGAATCTATGAAAAGGGGGTGTGTCTCAGTCTCTTCACAGCTCCATTTTTAAAGGAATTCTATAATTGCCTTAATTTCTCTCCTTTGTAAGGGCTATGTTTAAGTGGAAGGCAATTTCCTGACAGAGAGGCAATTTAGAGAATGAGTGAGAGCTGATCCATAGAAAACTGGCAAAGCAAGGGCCAGAGAGATCTGAAATGGGAAAGCCTCGGAGAGAAGGCCCTTGTCTTGGACCTTTGGGACTGCCTGTAAAGCACACGGTGTACAGTGGTACTGAAGTACAAAATGAAAGTATGTAAAATCCATGAGTGACCACATCACAAAAATCATCAAATGGATATATAGCTGAGGTTTTTTTCTCATTTCCTCCTTGTTCTCTCTATAGTCAGTCACCAGTTTTCTTCATTTCCCTCTAGATGACCTCATTAAAACCTTGCCTAAAATGTACAGATATGCATAAAAGAGTATTTTATGATTTTCTTTGTATAAACTATGGTGTTGATATACCACTAGCTATGTTTATTTAACAAAGAGTCTTTGAATGTATTTGTTCCTTCATAGATCTCTGTCTAACTTCTTTTGTGGTATTTCTTTCACAGTGACATTCCTTTAGCTAAGATGATACTCCATATTATGAGTATACCACATTTCATCAAATCACTAGAGGGTTGCCCCAGTATTTTCCCACTAAAATAATGCCACATCAGCCACCTTTTATATGCATTGACAAGTATTCTAGAGCAACATTAATATCTTTAAACTATAATAATGGAACCATTATGATACTGTTACAAGAACAACCAGGATCATCACAAGGGCCCAGAAATGGGTGTGGTGGCTCATACCTATAGTTCCAGTGGAAGGAAAGCAGGAGGGTTAAGGTAAATTCTATGCCAACCTGTGCTTGGGAAGAGAGCAAATTAAAAGTAGCATAATTTTCTTTTTCTTTTTTTTTCTTTTTTAATTTTTTTTTTTTGAGACAGGGTTTCTCTATATCTCTGGCCATCCTAGAACTCACTCTGTAGACCAGGCTGGCCTCGAACTCAGAAATCCGCCTGCCTCTGCCTCTCAAGTGCTGGGATTAAAGGCGTGCGCCACCACTGCCTGGCTTAACATAATTTTCTAAGGCATAAAAATTTATGAATATTTATAAAGTAGCATCTCATTGAGAATACTGATTGGTATTGAGCATGGATAAAAAGATTGCTATAAATTTGGGGGAAACTAAAGCCATCCTAAGAAATAGCATAGGAATTAATTTCTATAGGATTTGTTTGGCATCATTTTCCCTGAAACAAAGCCAAGGGTAAAGGAGAAGCCAGCCAGGTTTGTAATACTGAGATACATACATGTGCCCACTCCATAAGACAGTATTAAGCACACTTCCAACAATTATACCAACAAAAAAACATGGTGTAATGAATCAATGTGAAACAAGCACCTTAATACAAAAGGAAATAAAAATAGCCATGGAAGGAAAAAAAAAGATCTAACCAGTGATTATATAAAAAGTAGTTTGAAATCATACATATTCAAATAAAGATGCCCCACTACAAGTTAGATTAGCAAGAAAGTGGATTGAGACTTTGTGGGGAAAGGAGTGTTTGAAGCTTGAGGTATAATTGGATTAGTAGAATGCTTGCCTATCTAGTGTGCTTGAAGATGGAAGAATGAACTTGACATGGTTTTGCCAGGAATATAAATTAAAACAGTTATGAGGTGAATTGGGCTATATCACCAAAGCTTTACATAGGCAACCTCTTGGAATATATATCCTTCAGAGATACTTACCTGACATTCTTTAATATATCTGCATTGGCATCCGGTATTGAATTTTTATAATAATGAAATATTT